CCAGAAAACAATTTTATGCCATTTTCTGTACCTCCATGCACTTCCAAATATGAATTAATTCAAACCAGACACTGCCACAACTTCCTACAACTCACTCTTCTAAAGTAATCAGGTATGAAGCAAGTCCCCCCACCCCAAGAGCTAACTAACGCCTCAGTGCCCTGCCTGCCCTGGTTCTGTGAGTCTGAGATATGGCAACCTGACCACGAACAGACATTTTGCAGAAATAATGACTTGCCAGTGCCTGCCTCATTTCCCTTTGCCTGATGAACTTTCATAAAGGCCATTTAGAAAGGGTTCAGCAGCATGCAAGATACAGAATTTGAGTTCTAAAAGGCCCAAGGATGAGTGAATGACACCTTTTTCTTTTCTGGAGCATTTCTAATCACAGTTTTGTTACTGTAGCCTTCATGCTAAATAAAATAAACCTATCTGGAACTCTAAAAATAGTATGTTTCAAGTTACTTCTCCATCTTCTGAGGTTCCCCAAAGAAAAGCTATTAAATGATTTGCAGCTCATCACAACCAGAATCTTCCTAAGTGGGGGACCATTTTTTTTAAATCCTGGAAGAAGGCAGATTGACAGTGCTATGTCTGGCATCTTTGATTTTGGATTACACCTGTTGTGAAAGAGAGGCTGGCCTCTACCTTCCACAAAGCATTGAAAAGCACGATTCTCAATTTGAGCTGAGAGGAGTGATGTCCACATTCCATATCTAGCCACCTTCATGGAAGCCAAGCAGACTTGCTGATTGAGATAATTAGGGCGGAGACAATATCTCTGCCATCCCGGCAGCAATGCTGCTGATGGTTTCACCAAAAACTACAAGGAAGTCACCAGTTCTAGAGTGCTTTCTATAGTCACTGCTTATGAAACTGAACCATTGTATTATCCTATTCCTGGGCCTATTGTTTATGGGTCATTTTCAGAAGAGAAAACATTGGGGCATCAAAGGAGGTAAAAAAGACCTTATGTTCTTCCCTGTCCCAACTATCAAAATAAGTCTCAGCTTCAGAAATATACAAATGTCCTATTTATATCCACTGTTCACTATTCATTCTTTCCACCACTCACAGGAATCAGAAAAGTGTTAATCTCATAGTATGCTCCAAAACAGGCAAGGTATGAAACAGTTTCGTAGAGGGTGAGGGACCATTCTATCAGAGTTTCTGGTGAAATGGCTCATTATTTTTCAGGAATGATTTTAAGAATAGCTCTTCTAGCCCTGGCTGGTGCAGCTCAATGGATTGAGTGCCGGCCTGTGACGTAAAGGGTCGCTGCTTTGATTCCCAGTCAGGGCACATGCCTGGGTTGTGGGACAGGTCCCCAGCAGCGGTGGCACAAGAAGAAACCACACACTGATGCTTCTCTCCCTCTCTCCTTCTATTCCCCTTTCTCTAAAAATAAATCAATATATTCTTTTAAACAAAAAAGAATAGCTCTTCTAGTAACAGCATTAGAACTAGATGGAATGTGAACTTCTACTAAAAGAAAACAGTGCTCTTAAAACATACTCTTGAGAAAATTAAGAAATCTCTTCAGTTTAAACATGTTCACAAACCTGATATTCTCCTACTGATAAAAATGCAACTTGCCAGAGTATGACAACATTGCAATAGAGCTTCTGTCCAACCTTATCAAGGACCCACCTTCACACGCCCCTGGACATGCCGAGCTGTCTATAGGCACCTTGGATAGAGCAGGTCTCCTATGTCTCCTTGCCCCACTATTTAAAGTAAAACTAAAAAAGCAAACCAACAAAAACAATGCTTTCTTCACCCACTTAACTGTTGATTAAATTTTCCTTTACAGAACATCAACATCTCACTTGCCAATAAAGGATATCTAATCCAATACCTTTGCAAGGTAGGTTGTTTTGCTCCTGGACAACTCGACCAAGATGGAATTAACAATCCGCAGTTTAACTAAACTTTCGACAGGCCTCTTTGTGCACCCTAGGCCCCTGACCTCCCTCTTCTTAGAGCACTTATTTTAAAAAATTTGTCATTGTAAATCCTGTCTCTATCCCTCTGAAGCATATGTGAATCTCTTCCCAGCCCCCTGCCAGTTTCACAATGCAGGAAATGTATGTAGAAATCATTTTTTAAATAAAAACATCAGAGGAGATGGCATCCCTACCTTCCATTCTCTGTGGAGGGCAGGAGTCTGACTCCCATGGGCACCCATTAGCAAACACAGGTGGCTTAATCACAGAAAAGAATTGCAAACTTAGGAATAACTAAATGTGCTCAACAAATTCCACAGATAACCTCCTCTCCAACATCCTCCAGTATTTTTCCACTGGCTCACCCCCTGGATTTAAAACCCTCTGCCTTTTGCTTCAGTGAAGTTAAATACCAGACTTGCTCTTGGCTCTCTGCCTTACTGCTGGCAATAGTATCGAAATGAAATCAACTTCTGTTTGCTCATCTTGTCTGACGTCATTTTTTTTTATTTTAACATGCTCTACTCTCATTTTGGAGCCTCCATCTAGTCTCCTGCAGTTTTCAAAACCTCCAAAAGGTAATGAACTTCAGGATGATGAAACCTGAAACACAGGTGAGATTCAGGTAAGTCCATTTACACTGGGATCCCTCTAAAGTCTGCTACAGGATATCTCCCTATCCCCAAATATCTTCCTCTCCTGACTCTACCTCCTGCTGGCCTCCCAGGTAAATTGACTCAGCAAAGTGTAGCAGTAATGACTTTGTATTTGTTGTCACCTCCTTGTATGCAAGGCATCCTTGTATCCTTTTGCAGCATGACTTTGCCACCTCTCCTATCAAGAGATGCAGTCTTTTTCTCCAACTTTTGGTCTTGAGCTTAGTCAGATATCTTGGTTTTGTTAATAGGATATTAGCCAACATGCCAGAAACAGAAACTTCAAAAGTGAGCTTTGGAGTTTGCTCTTCTTGCTTTCCCTGGGGCCTCTGCTGAGTTCAAATACAAAGGAGCCACTGGAGAGATCCCAGTATTCACAACTTCCCCAGCCAAGTTCCCAAACATGGGAGTGAGGCCACCCTTGCCTCAGCTGACCTATTGCAGGGCAGGATACCAAGCCAGGCTACAGAATCATGGTGTCAAATATTTATTGTTTTAAGCATCTGAGTTCTACTTTTCTTTTAATATAGCAAAAGCAGATACCATCAGGATGTTACATTTACTGAGAAAAACATGAATGATTTCCCAGCCCAGAGAAAAATGATGAGAAATTAACTGGAGAAGGGACATCAGAGAAAACATTCCTTCATCATCCTGAGTCTCAAACCTGAAATGTTACCTGGGATTTAAACACAGATTTTAAAAAGTAATTCAGAACTCCACAGAAAATCAATCTCTCTCTAGGACTAAAACTATCTCACCTTTGAACAGTTTTTTTTTTCATTCTTATTAGACTTGAAAGCATGCCCATTGACCTAGCATACGCAATTTGCTAATAATTAGGTTGGCAGGGCAGGTTTAGGATTGTTACCAAATGGGTGGGTGAGGGGCCCCTTCAGTTCACAGAAGCTACTGCCCTAATGAGAGAGAAAAGATGAAGAAGGGGCAACTGAAATACCTCGGTTTCCTAAAATTCAGGTGAGATTAAACTCCATCACAGAAAAACAACTTCCAAATAAAACATCACTTCATTCTGTACTGGATGCAGAGAAGAAGCAGTTTTTAAGTCAAGTGCCCCTCTCAAGAGACCCTGAACTACTCTTACAGTCCTTCCCAGGGCACGTGCTTTTCCTTCTCTTTCTCCCCTTTCTCCTCCTCCTCCTCCTTCTTCTGAGTCTTCCATGAGTGTAAATAATATGTACTTGTTCATCTCTCCCATTAGACTTGAAGTTCCTTGAGGGCAGAGTCTGTGTTTATTCAGGGTTTCAGCAAGCACAAGTCACACAGTAGGTGCTTAATAAATGTTTATTACATAAATGAATGGAAGAGGGCAGGTTCTACATAACAGAGACTAATATCCAGATGACTCTGTTCCCAAGGCCTGACTGAACAAGGAGCCTGGCAGAAAAAGAAAGAGGAGGAGGAGAAGAAGTCACCTTCTTTTATTAAATAAAAATTTATATTATTAAAAAAACACATAATTCATAAAAATGTGTCTTTTTTCATGAAGATGCCTGAAATTCTACCAGGACACTTGATATAGCTATAAAACGTTTAACTTTGAGTGAATTGCATATAGTATTTGTTACTTGCATCCCTTCTTCTTGTTTGGGAAGCCAGAAGTCCTGAGCAGGGGAGAGACGCCACAGGTGCCAAGACAAAGCTCTTTTCCTAGACAGCACATGCCAAACATGTTGCATCTTCAGATAAATAATACCTGGGAGCTCAAACTAATTTTAAAAAGCATTGTTTTGCTTTCAACTGGTTAATGTGGTGACATTATTTTTACTATTTCAGTTGCTCAGACCCCCACAAAGAAAAAGAAAAAAAGCAGCTATCCCCATCCCTTCTCTTATAAAATATTTATTGTTTTATATGTATATATTTTTTAAAAGAACGAAATCAATTCTATTTTGAAAGGCACATTAAAAATGTAAGCACAAAGCACAGGGCACATTTCACAGAAGACTGGAATTGTTAACAGTTTTTTTTCATCTACCAGAAGAAATCAAATGAAGCCAGTTTGCCTCTGGGGTTTTAAACATCATTACAATTCATCTTAATAATGAAGTTAAAATTAACTGAAAGAAGACAAAATGGGGGGGGGGAATCCCTCACATCACTAACATGGGTTTATTCATGGCAAATAGATAAAAGTAATATCCTTTGGGCATACTTAAAAAAAAATCAAAATGACCAGCATATAGGGACCCATGATGAAAGCAGCACCTCCAACACTCATTTTGTGTTTATGGAAGCATAAACTAATGCACAACACACACACTTCATAAACATATGTTTGGAATACACACATACATGCAATACAAATAAATGCAACCACCAAGAGATCTTTAAAATTATATTTAAAAATATTGCAAACAAGGGATGATTGACTCACCATGAATCTGTTTGGATATTGCACAGAACTAACAGCAGGAACTCAGTTCTGCATCATGTAAGCATCCCAGGCTGTGTTTCTGGAACCTTTCTGTGGGAAATAAACGGACCCATACAATGGTCAGAGGGGGCATATGCACTCCGCAGGGCCCTCAGATGTCTCCAGGAGCACTGTAACTGTGACTCTCGTCCTTCCCCTCCGAGGGGAAGAACAAAACAGGCAGCTTGCTTCTTGGGAATAGATGGGGGACATTTTTTTAAACCAATTAAACCCTTTTCAGAAAACTAAACCTGTCACACTGAAGGTATAATGAAGGTAACAATAATGAATTGCAGAGCAAAATTACACTAGAATATACTGTGTTTGCTTGGCCGTCAGCTGGGAACACTGCTGACTCATTCATACTCTTCCATGGTAAAGTTTAGAACTCAATTATTTCTCTTAAAACCAGTAAGTTATTTTAGTTTTAAGTTGCCTGATAAGGTAAGAAAAGCCCCTAACTATAGGACTAAAACTGTTGATTTTATTTTTTTAAGAGTGGGAAAGATAACATAAAGAAACAATATAAATTAGGCAATAGAGAAAGCACAAATTCTCATGGAGTTTTAACCTTTTTAAATAAACAAATCCATAAGGGTTTAGGAGGAAATCAAGACTCTATCCCAATATGGAGGAATCTCTCTCTCTCTCCCTGCCCCATCTCTCTCCCTCTCTCTCAATGACTATCACCTCTAATTAATCAGAGTGTTCACCCTTTAATTCTGATTTCTTTAAATATTTAGGTTTTTTTTTACATTATACTAGATGCAGAATGGTAATAAGGCAACAAAAAGTCACAACTCACACATTATCTATGTTTCAATATTTTACCATTGGTGACCTAGTCATTTGGTTAATTCTAAGCATGGTTTGAGGAAACACTCAGAAAGTTATACGTAACCTGTATAACTGGGAAATTGTTATGTAGAATCATTATACAGGAATTAATACATGCATAGAAATCTTCCTTATAACATGCATTTACATAATAAAATTAGAGAAGACTTAGGTGGAGAAATTAACATGATTGACTAGGGGCCTGATATTTAAGAAAAACATTTAGATTACAATTTACTTACTGATTTAAACTAAAATTTTATTTGGGAATATTCACTCTGCTTACAAAAATCTTTCTTTAGCAACTGATTTACTCCAGCAAGAAAATCTTCTATGAGTGTATAGTGACCGCCAAATTTGAAAAATAAGACAAATATTTTAAATTTTTATTTTTTCCAACATATGCTGACTTTGTCCATTTGGGCTACTATGAAAACACACCATGGACTGAGTAGCTTATACACAACAGAAATGTATTTCTCACAGTACAGGAGCCTGGAAGTCCAAGATTAAGCTGCCAGCAGATGTGGGGGGCCTAATGAGGGCCTGCTTTCTGGGTCACAGATGCCACCTTCTCACTGTGCCCTCATACAGCAGAATGACTGATACTAAGAGGGAGTGTAATGATTTTTAGTGATAACTGATGATGCTATGATGAACTCAGGACTTGGAGCATTCTTGCATAGTCCATATGTCTCTTACCTAACAGGGAATTTTTCCTCTCCTCGAGTACGTAACAGTTCCTCCATACTCTTTGCTCTTGAGTTCCCTTATTATTTAACTGAAAAAAAAAAGTGGCACAATCAGAAGACTTTCTTTCTCATCAGCATATTGATAGACCAATAGAGATCTGTACTCTTTTTTTACATTAGCAGTTTTTATTTAAATTTCCAATTTAAAGAAATGAAGACAGATTTAGTAATATAATATAGTTATTAAAAAATATTTTACCTAAAAAGAAAAACTAATGGAAACTGTTCTAGAAAATGCAATTGTATTTCAATGTTACCTTGTTTGAATTACATAAATGCCTGTTGACTTGTTATATACACTGTAGAAATGGAGAGATAAACTGGTACTTTTGTGAACGCTTCACTAAAAGAAAAGCTTAAAGTATCACTATAAGGACAAGATGATTCTGCTTATCATATTTCTTTTTCATACAGCTCAAGGGTGGTTGAGTTTGTTTATTCATGATCATCATGGCTGTACTTTAATATCACCAAGTATCATTAAAGAAAATAAGAATAAATCAACTAAAGCCCCAGCATTACACAACCTTTTGGAAATAACTTAAATCTAAAATAAAGATCTAAAGGTTGTTTTTTCCCCAAATCCTCTTTAGTCTGACTTCACATTAAGAGTAATATAATAGTAAAACATAACTTCACCACAGAGTAATTCAATCTATGACCTATCTTGATGCTTCTTATCTACGGCCGATTCTTCAAAATGTGCACCAGCTCCTACTCTCCCACCTTCTCAAGGAAGGTAGATTCTCTTCTCCCTCCCACGTTTAAGTTCCTTCCCTCATTGCAAGACCATTTCTCTCACCCAAGTACTAACCAAGCCCCACTCTGCTTAGCCTCTGAGATCAGACAAGATGGGGCGCATTCAGGGTGGTATGGCCGTACACAAGACCATTATTAAATAATGTAAAACATGCTATTATATTTCCTATTTTCTATTTAAAAAGCTCTCTTGAAGCCTTCATACTTTTTATTAGCTGTTCCCTTTTGTAGTAAGAATTGCTAACTACACTAGTTTCAGACACTTCCCTCACTTCCCCACCTCCAATTTCCTCTCTCACATTTTGATCCCACCACTACATTGAACTTCCTTTTGTCATATTCACAAAGATTGCGTCTTTACAAATCCAAATCCATTAATCACTTCTCCCTTTATTTTTCTGGTCTTCCCAACATAAGAACATTTGACCTTGTGAGCACTTCCCTCCCTTGGTTTCAAGAACAACAAGCTTATCAGGAAGTTTTCCTAATCACTGACTATTGTTCCCCACTCTGAATGCTGGAGTACCCCAAACCTTAATCCTAAAAATGCTTAGTCCCTATTTAAATAATCTCATGCAATTCAATGACTTGAAATGTTTTATATATACTGATGACAACCATCACTTCTTGTTTCAGTTCCAGACTCATTTATGTAACTACCTACTTGATATTTAAATATCTGGTAGGAAGTTTAAAAAGCGAATCCTTGCCTTCTCACACCTGAACCACAAATTCATCTTTCCCCATATTTTCCTCATTTCAGGAACTGGCACTATATCCATTTGTTAAAGGTAAAACTTGAGAGTAATGTTTGATTTTGCTTTTTTCTTATCATCTAAAATCTAATCCATCAGCAACTGTTCTTGACCACATCTTCAAAACATGCCCGGAGTCCGGCGACTCCCTGCCACCCCCTCTTCTCCCCTCCGGTCCAGGAGCTGTGGTTTTCTGGCTGCGCTACTTTCACAGTCAGCCAGCTTCCAGCTTCTACTCTTTCCTTCCACATGAAGGCTAACTCAAGCTTTTCAAAACTACTTCATGCCCCACAGCTGAGAATAGTTATTCAAAAATGTAGGTTTTTTTCTTCTTGCTTTCAAAACTAGAGTACATTTAACAGTTTCCCTTGCAGTTAAGTTTCGTCGTACTACTCTTTTTGAACAATGAAATATGGGGAAGTGATATTTGCTACTGCCAAGTCTAACCCCCCAATACTTCCACATACGATTCCCCTACTCCCTCCCCTTCTGCTAGCTTCATGCAACAAGCATGCAACTTGCCTCCAGCTGGAACAACACTAAGTCTCTGTATCAACCCTCTGAAGCAGAGTTACCCACTGGTCAGGAATACACACTCTGTATTTGGGAAATAATCTTACGTTATTTTGTGCCTTTATGTTTTGGGTTTTGTTTTTTTTTTTGGATTTGTTTGTCACAGCAGCTAGAATTACCCTAATTAGCACATTCTCTAATACAAAATTCTCTAGAGTTTCCAATTACATAGTGAATAAATTTAAACTTCTTTCCATGCCTTTTGAGGCTCTAATGACCTGGGCCTTACCCAGTTCTGTGATTTCATTTGCTCCTCATTCAGTTTCCTCTACCCACATGAGCCTCTTGATATTTTTAAAACACACCAAACTGATTCCCATTTCAGGAACTTCATGTTTGCTTTTCCCTCTGCCTGGAATGCCTGACTCTCAGACATTCATGCCTGCTCAAATTTCAACATCCTAGAGAATCTCCCCTCACATCCCATCAAATATAGCATTCCCATGCTTTTCAATTTTCCTTTCTTGCCTTCATAGCTCTTATAACTAGGTGCAACTATGTCAGTTTTATTTTCTTTTTGCTTACTAGCTTACTATCTATACCTCCTACTACAATGACAGCTACATTTTTCTTTTTACTACTGGATCCTAGCTAACTACAGTAGTGCCTGAAATTAATAAATATTAATTTATATAATAAATATTAATAGATAGATGGAGGGATAAATAGAAACTGCCTTTATGATACGCTACCTCTAAAAATACCCCAAATGATTCCTACCTCCTGGTATTTATAGCCTTCTATAATCCCCCCCATCACCTTGCTTCTAATCAATAGATGAAGGGATATCTCTTTTGTGGTTTGTTTGTGTAAGACTGTGACTGCCCTATTGGTAGCAAACCCTTTCTGTTGACTTCCTTGGCTTGCACATTTTGATGATGCCAGCTGCCATATGTGAAGGCACTGTTGGCAGCCACTGGCCAACACCCAGCTAGAAACCATGGCCTTTAGTCCAACAACGCATGAAAAACTGCAATCTGACACCTGAGCTTGGAAATGGATCCCTCCCTACTCAAGCATTCAAATGAGACCTCAGCCCTGAGCAAGCAAGGTCTTGCATACAGCCTTGTCAGTTACTGAGCAGAGGTCCCAGTGAAGCCTGGCCTAGGTTCCTGAGACACAGAGCCTATGAGAGAAGACAGGCATGGTATTTTAAGCTGCTGAGTTTGTGCTAATTTGTTACAAAGCAATGGATAACTAATATACCCTGATGTGGGTAGAGCAAAAAGAAATTAGAAAAACTCTCTGCTGTTTTTTTTTTCTCAAATGGGACAACAGAAATCTAAAGAAGTATGCTTTCTTGGATGCCTAATACCCTAAAATATAATCTGATATCTATGAACACTGTTTTCCAGTTTGACTTTCAGATTTCGTAGGGAAAGAATAAGAGTCAATTCTTTTGTTCTTACTATTCTGTTTAGTCATCCTGGATGTGGAGTATGGTACCATTACAACCAGCACAGTGCTGTATTTTCCTGCCCCCAGACGGCATCTAGGACACAAATGCTCAGACTCCCTCTGAGGAACTGTCATTTATTGGATGACTGGCTCCACCTCTTCTGTTGTCTCTTTAAAATAATATTTAAAAAATAGAAAGGCAAAGTTATTTGTTCTTGTCACTTATATCCTTTCTGGATTAGTAAGGAAACTATCAAGGAAGACAAATCATGGAAACCTTAGATTTGTTTCAAATATATTAATAAGGTTTGGTTTGGTTACATACCCACAGAGTGGGGGTTTTTCTATTAAATAACATTTGAGAGCTATAGTAAACACTCTTGATTCAAAATGCTTTATACATACAATGCTGTAATATTCTACAGATGAAAACAAATTTCTTCTCTAGAAACAAAGAATGAAGATTAAATGAGCAAGTAGTGACAAATCAAATGTTCACTCTGAAATAAAAATGTGCGACTAGCTGACCACAGGGAAGCCCACTCAGACCCCCGTTCCTCCAGTGGTGTGGTTAACGCAAAGTCGAACAGGCACTCAGCAACTGACTGGGGCAGGACAGTGGGGTCTGCAGCCCCTAATGCCTGCATCTGTGAGAACATAATGAAGTCACTAAAACTGTCGTTGAAGACTTGATGTTAGTATCAAGTTAGGAGATTTTTTTCAAAGGGATTAAACTGGAGAAATAGGTAAATTTTGGCTTAATGGCCCAATGGCAGTGTTGGAAAGTAAAAATAATCTCTGATAGCACAAACAGGAGTTATCAAAATGGCTATGTCTGCAACAAACTGGCAAGTTCTCCTTTCTTGCTGTCAAAGGTCCATGGAAGATTTTAAATCATTTTCATTTTGTTATTATCAAGAAGCATAAAGTCTAACACCTGTGTCTTCCATTGAACCACCACATAGCTACTTAGGTTTAGAAAACATGCTGCCAGTGCATGCATAATGCCAGTGCCTTGGTGCTTAGAGGGAGAGTATGACAGCCAAAAAAAAGTAAATTACTTTTGATATTTTATTTGATATTGGGATTTGCACTCTACCCAATTGATTGCACATGGAATCAAAGGTGAGAAATACATCAACTAATTTTTTTTTAGCTGTGCTGCAGAATTCATGTAGGTACAATTGACTTGCCTATAAATTAAAGAGAAAAAATTAAACTTTCTTCTCAAGAGAAGACAAATCATAACATCAGCTCTTATTCAATCCCAATCCAGATCCATAGGAATGAAAAGCAGGAAAGTTAAGAATGAAAGTGCATTTGAATCCATTCTATCTGCAGAGTGAAAAGCAAGGATAGAAAGAATATTTCATCTAATAAAAGATTAATGTGAGAGCCTTCTGAGTGATAACCACATTGCTTCCTCTCTGAGCTAATTATGCCTTTGAACCACATTCAGAAAGGAAACACAAAGTAACCTTCAGCAAATACTTATTTTAATTGCTTAATAGTGAACACTTCTTTTTGAGCTAATTGGATTATTT